AAATGCCACCGAGATTTTTTAATTGCACAGTGATCTAAGTATCAAAGTATCGACCGCTATCTGGAACTTAACTAGTTTAAGGTTGCAGATCGAAAATAAGTCAAAGATCAGTATTTAAGCAGAACATAGTTGACAGCCCTCATAAATTTGGAACCCAAAGTGCGTTGTATCCCAAAGTGCAGTGTTACAGCCTTTACAAGTCAGTGCGCATGCTGACACAATATGAGCCACGTCACCACAAAACCAACATAGTGGGTTTGCGACCAGCATGGATCCAGACCAACCTGCGCTTCCGCGCAGTCTGATCAGGATCCATGATGTTCGCTATCAGTTTCTCTTCATGCAATATGATTTGTAAGCGAACAGCATGGATCCTGATCAGACTGCGCGGATGCGCAGGCTGGTCTGGATCCATGCTGGTCGCAAACGCATTACGTTGGTTTTGTCATGACGCGGCTCATATAACTGTTCCACATATTAAAGGCAGTGACTGTGAGCAGTTAAGGAACGGTAAGCGGCCTATTTTAGTGATAAACAGCGCATGTTATCTATACTTTTTATTCATTGCCATTCAATTTGAAGTTTACGATTTAGTGTCAAATGGGTAATAGTCATCTAGTTTTAAAAGCTTTATATAAACTGTGTATGAAATATTTTTTAACTTTTATCTAAAAACCTTTAAAAAATTAACATTGTAAAATGTGAACATCTGTCAAATCTGGGGTAATATAAGAACATGTGGTACATTTTATAAACAGGTATGTATTGAACTGTCTATCAATCAATCAGGAAATATCAAGAAAAAATGTCTATAGCTTGTCATTCATAAGTACAGAGCATGTTACAGTCTGCACGGGTGTGTTGCCTGGCGTACATGTATCTCTTTACCACATTATTCATCCGGTTCCAACAGTATAAAGGTACAGTGTTGTTAACAGTTGTTGCTTTTGATCTAAGCTTATTTAAAGGAAATTCTATTATTATACAGTTTTCACTCTCTTTTATGGGGAAAAGACATATACCTGTAGCACGAGCCTTTAAACTTTCATTAATGAGCCGCGTCACGACAAAACCAACATAATGGGTTTGCGACCAGCATGGATCCAGACCAGCCTGCGCCTCCGCGCAGTCTGGTCATGATCCATGCTGTTCGCTATCAGTTTTTCTATTTGAAATAGAGTTGGTAAGCGAACAGCATGGATCCTAGTCAGACTGCGCGGATGCGCAGGCTGGTGTGGATCCATGCTGGTCGCAAACCCACTATGTTGGTTTTGTCGTGACGCGGCTCATTTGTTATTTTTTTCTCAAGATGGAAAAGTATCAATGCGACAGCTGCGTCGAAGAAACACTTTTTAATGGCACACAGTAAACGTAATTTAAATTGAAACGAAGTCGTTCAATTCAATGCCATTCACATTACATGAAAATATAAAGAATGAGCTTAACAGTGACTGACATATCCACGGAAGACCGTTTGGGATATTACAAATTCATGAATGCCCGATTTTATCTTCGTGAATTCAGAATTTTAACTTGATGAATTCACGTTTTCAACATACAGAATTCACGATAGCAAATTCATGAATTCATGATTTCAAGTTCACGAATTCATAATGTACACTTTACGAATTCACTATTTCCACTTCATGAATTTAATTTCATGAATTTCTTATTTGAACTCTAAGATTTCATCTTCACGGTGTTGAAATCGTGAAGTTCACAACGTGAATTAAAATCGTGAATTTGTGAAGTTGAAATCGTGATTTCATGAAGTTGAAATATTGAATTCGTGAAGTTGAAATCTTGAATTCGGGAAGTTGAAATCGTGATTTCATGAAGTTGAATTCATGAAGTCAAAATCTTCATTCACGAAGCTGATAACGTGAAGTTCAAAACGTGAAATCACGAAAACAGAAACAACTGAAAGGGTAATGAGGAAAAAGTGGATGTGGTGTCAAGAGATTCTCTTTTTGAAAGGGAAGATGTTTTCCACAAAAAATCAATACCATTAATGTAGGCCGAGCAATGTAATTATTATGCAAAAAAAAAATGTTTTGGCATTTCATTTACGTTCGTAAAATGAGCAGTAATGACGTAACAACAAAAGGTAAAATAGTCCTAATTACATAGCATATAAAACTTAGTACATTTTTGTACGCTACATTTGGGAATGATTTTAATTACTCCTTTAATTGCTTTTAAACTCCTTTTTATTTAATATGGAATATATTCAAAAGGAATTAATAACATCTGCACAAATTATCCACGCAGTGCCATTGTCTGTTACAGTTTGGGAGTCCTGCCGCATTACTGGTGCAGTCTTGCTGGGTCATACAATCTGTAATGGGGGAAATAAAGTGACATTTTATCGTACACACAATTTATTACTTAACCTGCAGAAACGACTTGTCATAATCTTTAATTCAAATAATTGAATACATCGCTACCCGCAAACATTTTAAACTAACAACAGGAAATTTGTTGTTAAATATGAGCCGCGCCACGACAAAACCAACATAATGGGTTTGCGAACAGCATGGATCCAGACCAGCCTGCGCATCCGCGCAGTCTGATCAGGATCTCCATGCTGTTCGCTATCAGTTTCTCTACTTGTTATAGGGTTTTTAAGCGAACAGCATGGATCCTGATCAGACTGCGCGGATGCGCAGGCTGGTCTGGATCCATGCTGGTCGCCAACCCATTATGTTGGTTTTGTCATGGCGCGGCTCATATATATTATTGCTTTATTAAATGATAACTTAATTTAATTAGTCAAATGATGACGATGCTGACGATGTTACGGTTGAACAAGTGGAAGGGGAGAACAAGTTGCTGATGACACAAGAAGCAATAGAACAGCCTATATTTAGGCACAGAATGAAAACTACTTTTTGTACGCTGATAGCTAGGAATGTAACATTTCTAGTCCAAATCAACATTGCTTGATTGGTTGCTGGTAGGTAGCGTGATTTGAAGTCAGAGACCCGAACAGGGTGGACTTTTTTTGTTGCTTATACGCAATACCAATTTATAAGCCCTGATCCCAATCACAACCCATCTTTTTCTGTCGTTATCGTAATTCAATACAAAATGTATTTATATTTTAACCCATTACTTGCTAAAATTGTGTAATGTATTTGCCCTGTATTGAATCGGAAACAATCCATTCAAATGATTCCAATATCAAAATTCAAAGCAATCAACAGTGTAGTGCACGGGTGTGCACGTTGACCTTGCACGAAGACTAATCACTTTCGGTTCCGGCACGTATAAAGGGAGTCAAAATATTTTGCAGTGTAAAAAGCGAGCTTTGAGATATTTTTTGTCTGGGTCAGAATCTCGCTTCTACAGACACCACACAATAGGCGTTTACTATGTTGCACGTAGAGGAGAGATATTGGCCAAGCACAAAATAGCACAATATATCAGTGCGTAGTGGATAAGTTCACTTTTGCAACGAGAAGGAATATAATCTTATTACAATTTATACACTGTAGATGGTGTAAGATAAACTTACTGTTGCATGTACAAATTTGATTCACACATTCCTTGTAGTAACCAAATGAACATTGAAAGCTCATACATTCTGTTGCCACATTATTGTTTGGGCAATTTTCGGCAAAGACGTCAACAACTGAAAAAATAAGCCTCAGGTTTACAGCTGATAACAATTCTTATAATGTGATGAATCATATGAAGTAATAATAGTATTATGGAATTTAAGATGCTTCAAATTGCAGCGTCTTAGTTCTTATTTAATTCTCATCGAACATAAATTAAATTTGCAAATACTTATCTTGTCAGCCAGCACGTTTCGAAATATACATGTAACATTTGTATCCCCTATTAAAGTTATACATTTAAATTGTACGTAAAAAATCGAAATATTTTCTCACCCTTTGCAATCTAAATAGATACATGCTACTATAAGAAAAGTGACGAAATAAAGAAAATCAGAATCTCCAAAGAACGCCTAAAACGGCAAGGCTCGGTTTAATCGAGTCTGTTTAAGGACGATACAAGAAAGTGCAAGCTACCGTCCACGCCCCCTTGCACCGGTTAAAGCAGAATTCAACATTTGAGCACGTAAATGGTGATATTTTAAATCTGAAAACATTCGCAGATGATTTTATACAAAGCCAGAGTCACACAAGCTTTTATTAGTTGATACAGCTTATTATATACTAGTATATGATTTGTCTTACCCATCGTAATTGCGACACAAAATAATAAAGCCTTCATTTTTTAATGTTACTTTCGTGAAAACAGAAGTTAAAATGAGTGTCTCGTTGAGTGTGTCTCACGTAAAATGAACGATAGCTGTGAGAAATGAACATGTGCGGCTACAATCAGAACATTACATTTGTACGTTCATTTTCAACTTTAGTACTAAAAGATAAGTGTATTACATTACACAAACTGTCAACTTATGTAGTCAAATAATATAGCAGACTTCCATTCCACCTTGTTTTCTGCTAAGTCTACACAAGTCAACATTATTTGTTACTTCTGTATTCTTGTACTTGTACCAGTTGACCTTGGCATATATTTGTTTTTATAAGATGGCTTCTCGTAACCACTATACATCGATTGCCTTTTAAGGCCTTTTTTTAAAAAAAACAAAAAACAAATTGCCGTACATATAATTTTCAAGGGGATAAGAAAGCGAGGGAACATTTAGTCATTATGTTCATTCCTTCATGGTCCAGTCAATTCTACTAAATGCACTCTTCCCGTTAACTGACAAAGCTTCGCCACAATTGTGATTGTAATTCCTAGATATAAACGTTTGCCTCACCCTGTTGAATTTAATTTAATATGAACTGGTTCACAATTTGAATTTACAGGTTTACAGTATCAAAATATTAAAACAGGCTTGACTATCATGTTCAAAAGTCTGTTACTGCTACGGCTAATGGTGCAAAGATTGAAATTTGCCTTACTTCTAATTTATTTAAATATTTTAACTACTTTGAAAGAAAAAAACACACTTAAATATATATATTTTATTAAAAATACTCACTCATGTATCAAGAAAGCACATATAAATAATTACAAACAACATGTAGATTTAATTGATTTGAAAATTATATGTTATGTTTTTTCTATAGACTAGATAACTAAGGGTCATCAGGATGAACTATTGACTTTTATATACAATAGTCTCTATAGAATCTGTCACCTAAAAGCAGTATTGAATCTAAATAACAGTTAACCCGTTACTGCACTAAGTTGACAACTATTTCAATCTCGACAATAGCATTAAATGCTAGTTTTGAGTCTTTAGACAACTTAAACAGACAGTGTGGGAGAACGACAAGGCAGTGTAAATATGACAGCTTTTAATTTGTGCCTTTCATTACACCCACAGGTGTCAAGTTTCTCCACTAAAAAGTAGGCCATTTTTATGTCTGAAATTTCATTATCACAGTCCTAATATAACTGACAAAAAAGCCTTATCTTCAACAATTCTTCGTGACCCTTTCAACATTTATTTCCCCTTTTTAAAGTTTGGAAGTTCATTACAACAAATAATTATATATTTCAAATACTTTTCATGACAATTTCAACATTCATTTTAAGTGGAAACAAAACTAATACAAAAGTAGGTTTTTATTTCAAATTGAAAAGTGAGCTGTAGTTTGGTTTTATATAAACTACAATACTCTTATACCAACTTTCTGTTGATAGAGAAAAGAATGAGATAATAATGTACATGTGTTTACAGTTAACACATTAGATATAAACAGATCTCTATGACTTTTCATGCAGATCTTGTACTTCCAGCATAAAAAATATTTTGAATCATAAAGACGTGGTGAAGCTAAAAACAAGGAAACAAAATACATATGTAGTACTTCAAACTTGTGAAACAATAAAAAGGAGACAATAGTTTTTTTATATACATTGCACATAGTAGTTACATTGTATTAACACACAAAAAGAGCACTACAAGGCATCATCACATATTTCTGGTTAGTCCAATATGGACATTTAATTGGAGTCCGGATTTAAGCTATACTATGCTAAAATTTGATGTTAGAAAATATTGATAATTACTTCAGTTTCTTTGTAAATTGAAATAAAGACTTCACAAAAAGTAGATAATTATGTTATGTTTAAAACTTTACAATATGAATATATTGTGCCATTAAAAAATGAGTGTTTTTTTTTAAAGAAAATACCAACTTTACTGGGCCTATAATAGAGAACACAGCTTTCAATACTTAATTTATTCATTCTTTTATTCAAATCAGACAAATTTAGTCGATTAAAGTATCTTACTCAAGGATGAACATAGTAAATCTTAAACTGGAGGTCAGACAGGCACTATATATAAACAGTAAAGCCATTTTCATAATCAATTGAGGTTATTTAGCTTTCAGAAATATAATTGGTGTAAACAATTTAAATGTAATTATCATTCATGTATCTTAAACATGTATTACAAAAATATAGGCTGAAAATACATGAACTTGAACAATAAGATAAAATAGTGTAACAATTATGATAATGTGTTCTGGGAAAGTCAACTTAGTGCAGTAATGGGTTAACTTTTAACATAATTTAATAGGAGGTAACCTGTTACTGCACTTAAGTGACAATATGACCTAATACTGGCACAATGGATGGTATAATTTTTAAACCTTGTTTACAAATACGTTTTTAAGCATGAAAAGCATTCATGCTTTGAAACTTGCTTATCAACAGCAAGGTTTTGTTTGGGTTTTTTCCCTCTAACCTCAAATTATCATGACTTTTTCCACTCATATTTGTTCACTTTTATTATAATCAACTGTTGCATTTTTCTTTCAAAATTCCATGCATACCCTTAATATATTTGGGTAAGAAAGTCAGAAACAAACTATAAAATAATTATTGTTTTTGGCCTAATATCACAATTATAATCTGTGGTCCCTAAAGTCTCTGCTATCTAAAGATCTCCTATTTTCCTACGTGTCTCCAGTCATAATGGCTAAGAATTCATTTTCGTTGACTGAAAGAAACAAAATGATGTAAGTTTTTATAATATATATACTGAAGATGATAAAAAAACAATAAAGTTCTGCTTGTACCTAACATACTTAAAGATATACTATGCTCAAATTTGATGTTTGAAAATATTGATTACTACTACACAGCCTCTATGTAAATACAAGAGGGCCATGATGGCCCTGGGGTCGCTCACCTGTACATAGTCCCCCAGGGCGGGGCCAGTTTAAACCAAAGGGCTTTTATTTGAACAAACTTTGAAGACACCCATTAGAAGATGTTTCATGATGTTAAGTTTTTGCTATACACAAATAATGAAAAACAATGACTTTTGCCCCCCCTCCCCCTGGCAGGGCCAATTTTAACCCAAGGGCTTTTATTTGAACAAAATTGGTAGACACCCATTAGAACATGTTTCATGCTAAATATCTAAGGTCTAACTCTTTGGGTTCTTTAAAAGAAGATTTTTAAGTTTTTACTACATGTATATAGGAAAAATCAATGACCCCTGGGGCTTGGCCAATTTTGATCCCAGGGCTTTTATTTGAACAAACTTGGTAGACACCCATTAGAAGATGTTTCATGCTAAATATCTTAGCTCTAGCTCTTTGGATTCTTAAAAGAAGATTTTTTAAAGTTTTTACTATATGCATATAGGGAAAATCAAAGACCCCCTGGGGCAGGGCCAATTTTGACCCCAGGGCTTTTATTTGAACAAACTTGGTAGACATCCATTAGAACATGTTTCATGCCAAATATCTAAGCTCTAGCTCTTTGGGTTTTTTTAGAAGAAGATTTTTTTAAGTTTTTACTATATGCATATATGGAAAATCAATGACCCCCTGGGGCGGGGCCAATTTTGAACCCAGAGCTTTTATTTGAACAATCTTGGTAGACAGTCATTAGAAAATGTTTCATGCTTAATATCTCAGGTCTAACTCTTTGGGTTCTTTAAAAGAACATTTTTTTAAGTTTTTACTATATGCATATAGGGAAAATCAATGACCCACTGGGGCGGGGCCAATTTTGACCCTATGGATTTTATTTGAACAATCTTGGTAAACACTCACTAGAAGATGTCATGCCAAATATCTAAGCTCTAGCTCTTTGGGTTTTTTAGAAGAAGTGTTTCAAGTTTTTTCTTTTGGTTGCCATGGCAACCAGAGTTCTGCATTGAATGGAATTCTTTGAACAACTTTGTTAAGGCTTCACACCAGAAACATCCCTGTGAAGTTTCATTATGATCTGCCTTATGGTTTCAGAGGAGATTTCGTTTGAAAAGTGTGAACGGACAACGGACGACGTACGACGGACGAAGAGTGATCCTAATAGCTCACCCTGAGCATATGCTCAGAAGAGCTTATAAAATAAACATGATTCCCCTTCATTCAACGTAAAAATGTTATGTTTTGAACTCTATACACTATAAGTGGTCACAATATGAATATACTGTATAGTGTCATTAAAAAACAAGAGCTGTCTGTAGGACAGCACGCTCGACTATTCTAAGTGCTTGATAGTAAAAGAGCCTTGATAATGTTAAATTTTTTAAGTTCACAAAAGGGCTAATTTTTTTTATAAATTCACGTTATAGGCCTTAGAGAGAGTCTAATTATACAGTATTGGCTTGACTATTCGGAAGGTAATGTCACGAGGGTGTTTTATTGAGTATAATAATACTAATTACCCATGAATAAATAAATTTGACAGAAAAGGTACAAAGGCTTGTTATGTAGATGTTTTATCAAGTAAATAACTGCTTTATTATTATGAATGCATAAAATTGTCCCAAAAGAGGCACAAACCCTTCAGTAGTTATTGAGATAACAGCTTACAAGCAAAACTTTACCATGAATTTCTAAGTTGAAAAAGGGGAGAAAAATCAGCCTTAATGCAAGATAGAATTATGGATCTTTGTCAGTGACCTACAATTATGACCCTAAATGCATATGTGAAGTTTTAAATAAATATCTTTAATAGTTATTGAGATATGTAAAACTTGCTTGTAAACATTAACCAAGAGAATAAGTAGAAAAGGGGATATGAATCAGCCTTAATGCAAGATAGAGTTATGGAACTTGGTCAGTGACATACAATTATGACCCTCCAATTATGACCCTTAGTGCATGTGTAAAGTTTCAAGTAAATATATTTGAAGACCTTTAACCTTTTACCAAAATTCTAAATTTCAAAGGGGCAAATAACTCTGCAAATATTGTAGGCGGAGTTATGCAATTTTGCAAACGGATGTACATTGTTACTATAAAAAGTTATTTTAAATTTCAATTGAATATCTCAAGCAATAATTGAGATATTTGACTTTACAAAAAATTTTAACCAAAATTTCTAAGTTAAAATGGGGCAAAATTCTGTCAATATTGTAGGCAGAGTTATCCAACTTGTCAATCTGATGTATCTTGTTACTATAAATAAGTATTGTAAATTTCAATTGAATATCTCCAGTAATAATTGAGATATTTGACTTTAAAAAAAACTTTAACCAAAATTTCTAAGTTAAAAAGGGGCATAATTCTGTCAATATTGTAGGCAGAGTTATCCAACTATCTGATGTAGCTTGTTACTATAAATAAGTATTGTAAGTTTCAATTAAATATCTCAAGTAATAATTGAGATATTTGACTTTACAAAAAACTTTAACCAACGCAGACGCCGACGCGGACGCTGACGCCGTGGCGACTTCAATAGCTCTTATATTCTTCGAATAGTCGAGCTTAAAACTGGCAGTTTTCTGAAGAAAAGAAAAGACCAACATCACAATGACCTTCAATAGGGAATGCAGCTTTCAATACAAAGTTTGAACACTTTTTTACTCAAATTAAAAACATTCAGCAAGGATTTCATGGATCTTAATAAATTTCTTTGATAAGAATATTTTACTCAAAGATGAGCAGTGTATATCTTTAACCTAAGTAAAAATTTGTAACAAATGTTTTGCCACACTTGGAAACAGGTTTGGATCTATCAAAAAAGGATAATTGTTCATTAACAAAACCACTAAAGGTGCATAAGACTATTGATCACAAATAAACCGTTTAATCTCAGTGCATTTAAGCCATATAGGTATAAAGGTACTTAATGTTGTCCTTATTTCATTAATAAATAACTTACTTTCTCCATCATAATAAATAACTTACTTTCTCCATCACCATCTCTATCAAATTCATCTATCATGGCTCTTAGTTCTTCATCCGTCATGTTTTCACCAAGTTCTCTAAAATTTTGAAACAATTATCACTTTACTTGACATTGCACTGCTAGATAGAAGAACTTTTACATTATTTTAAAAGATTAAGTTGTTTAAAACTAAATGAAAGGTGTTTTTAAACTTTATTTATTCACCAATGAAGATTAATAACAGTATGCTTTATTCAATGTTTGGTGTTGAAAATCCCTTAAATAACAAGCAATTATCATAGTATTGCAAGCAATCCATAAGTCCCCTACCGGTAAGAGCCCAAGCAACATTCTGAAGGGCCATTGGCCATTCACTTAGGTTCCTATTTTAAGTAAATTTGTTGAAAAAGTTCTTTAAAAGTGATCACAGGAAACAGTTTTTATGTACAGACAGACGGACTGAAGGACACTCTAAAGTTATTTTTAAACATCCCTGTTATCAAAATATAACATTTTTAAAATCCTATCATGATTGAAGAAGTTGGAGTAAAAATTACCAATTTCTCAAAAAAAAGTCTAAGTTCAAAAGGGGCATAATTCTGGAAATAGTCTTGCTAGAGTATTGAACACTCACAAATGTTGAGTGATAATAAGAAACATTTATATGAAGTTTGAAGTAGATACATTCAGAAAAAGAAGTTATTAAAAAAAACAATGTTTTTTTCATGAAAATTTTAAGTTCAAGGGAGGTAATTCTGATAAATTTTGTGCTAGAGTTGTGAACCTTGTCACATATGATGTGGTTGATGACAAGCAACTTATATTTAAAGTTTTAAGAAAATACCTTAAGAAATAAAGAACTTATAGTGAAAAAACTTAAAAACTAGAATCAGAAATCTTGAAATTCAGTCTATTTGTTGCCATAGCAACCAGAATTTTCAACATAGGAAGATAAGAAAAGGATGTGCATAATTTCCATACTGCCATCTACCCATATGTCAAGTTTCATAAACATATTTTCAGTACTTTTTGTGTTATCACTGGATCCAGGTTATGTGTAAAATTTGCCATATTTTCAATCTATTTGTTGCCATAGCAACCAGAATTTTCAACATAGGAAGAAAAGAAAAAGACGTGCATAATCTCCATACTGCCATCTATCTATATATCAAGTTTCATTAAAATATTTTCAGTACTTTTTGTGTTTTGTGGACGGACGGACTGACGGACGGACAGACAGACAGACGGACGGTAAACCTAAAGTCCCCTCCGGTAAACCGGTAGGGGACTAATAAGATGAAAGTTGTGCAAAGACATCTCTAGCTGTCAGTTCCTAATTACTGACAAGGCAAATCTATTTTCACAGTCTTCAGTCCCATTATCAAGTTTATGCCTATTATCAGGCTCAGTTTAAGCATATCTATTTTCACAATCTTCAAGCCCATTATCAAGTTTGCCTTTTATCATGTTTAGGCCCATTATAAAGATTCACACACTGATACATGAAACGCAGTCTTTTTCAAGTGTTGTGGCCCATAAAAGGCTTAGCTGAAAATATTTAGGTGATCTTAATTGAACTTGGCATATTAAAATTATACTAAGTTTGGTCATGACCATTCTTTATTTGAGTTATTTCATGAAAAGTAATAACCAACTTAAAAGAGCACACCCTGAGTTTATTAAAGAACCATTACAGTACCATTACATGGAGTCTGGTGATGAACTGATCATCTATATATTACAACAGTTCATGTGTTGTTTAAAACTTAATCTATTTTCACTTCTAACAATCCCATAAAGATCCAAACAAATTTCATTTTAAAACAATGTTAGAAAACAATGAATACATACTTCAGAAAAAGTTTTGATGGTTATGAGTCAAAGCATGTGTGACTGTAACAAGGGCTGTCAGTATTGACTATTCTCAGTGCTTAATAGTAAATAATGTAGGTTTTTGTAAGCCAAAAAAGGTCATAATTCTGTCAAAATTCATATTATAACCAGGGCCAATAGACAGTGACCTCCAATTGTGCTCTCAAATAAGTGTGTTAAGCTTCAGACAATTCCTTTCAGTAGTTGCAAACTTTTATAAATACCAACTTGCACCAAAGTGTGACACAAATGCCTGTGTTTCAATAGCTGTCCCTACTCTTTGAATAGAGAAGCTAAAAATTAATTTATGTAACTACTAACTTACCTTGCTACCCTCCTGAGATTTCGTAAATTTATTTTTCCAGAACTGTCATCATCAAATAATTTAAATGCTTTTAAAATTTCATCCTGAGGATCTCTTTCCAACATCATATCTGTCACTGAAAAAAAAATCATACTCTATTACCTAATATTCCTTCTTTACACAAATACAGGCATCATATGCTAAGCAAAAATTTGGGAAACTAGAATTACACTATTTTCCGAGTCTAGAAAGACCAAACTAATTTTTGATAGGACTAAAAGCATCAAATGATCTTGATATATAATCTTAGATATCCCATTCTTCACAAATACAATATTTGATACTGTATCATTCCAAAATAGTCAAAAAGTTATTATTGTTATAAACATTCTCAAGTATTGGTTTATCATTGATCTTGCATATTCCAAAAATACAAATTTGATTCTGTGCAAATGCCAAATGAATATTTGACCTGTATAATTCTCGAAGATTCAGATGACACTCTGTACTATTTCTAATTGTTTGTTTGTTTGATTGGGTTTTACTCATACAGACACAGTATAGGTCATATGGCGATGTTCCAGCTTTACTAGTGGAGAAAGGCCTCAGATGCCCTTCTGTGCATTATTTTAGGCAAGAACAGGCACCTGAGTAGAACCTCAACATTCCATAAGCTAACTGAATGGCCTCCTCACATGAAAGATTCCAAAGTCCCTGTCGGGATTCGCATCAACAGAGCTGAGGGGCAAGTGGTTTGAAGTCATAGACCATGGCCACGGACGCCCTTGTACTATTGCTAAATACATATTTCATACTGTAACATTTCAAAAAACACAATTTATACCATATCAGTACCAAATATAAGTTAAAAATATCCCTTATAAATCAAATATTCTTAGCTGAACACTACAATGTTTCTGGTTTTTAAAAGAATATATTATGAATAAATACAGATCTACAAGGATAATACAAAGAAAATGACACACCTGAGAAAAACCTTGTTAATATATTAGTATTATTGCATCAAAGTAACTTACTTGTGTGGCGGCGTGACCTAGTGGTTAATGCATCAGATTAATAATCTGTGTGGGTTCAAACCCCATCATGGGCAAGCTGTTGTTTCTCGGAGCAAGAAAATTTACACTCATTGCTTAGTACTGGTTGGTTCCAGGAACAGATTTGAGAGTGTTTCAATAAGCTTATAGCTTCTGACACAATCAAACTAAAATAAATTTGTATAAACTTAAGTCACTTACTGACTTCATTGAAGTCCTCAAAGGTAATCTTGCCAGTTCCTTCTCTATCATAATCTCGGAGAACTTTTAGAACATCTGTTTTCTTAACATCAAATCCCAGAGCCCTCATTGCAACCTGGTAATACAATATTACAAACCATAATTTCAACAAAACAGACTTTCTTCACTCATAAACAATCATTTCTAGTTGGTTCTATTCTTCTTGGATAATGTTTAGAAAAAGGTAAAATTAACCACTGAAATATATTTAGGAAAACAGAAACTAAAAACAAACACAAACAGTTTTCAGAGTTTCTTTCTTAACAGTGATATGATGATTTTTGTTCATAGAATCAAGACACTTCTTATTTTCATGCTAAATTTGCATTATGTCATGGAACCTTTGTAACATACACTAGAATTGCATTAGTCATGGCACCTTTGTAATGTACACTAGATTTGCATTTGTCACAGCACCTTTGAAATGCACACTAGATTTGCATTAGTTACAGCCCCCTTTGTAACATACACTAGATTTGTATAAAGTCATGGCACATTTGTAATATACACTAGATTAGCATTAGGCCATGATACCTTTGTAAGACACATTATATTTTGTGTTAAGTCATACAATTATATAGCACGTAATTGTAACCAAATTATGCATACATTTTTATGATTGATGAAAAGAAAAAAAATACAATACCCAGTCACAAATGCAATCATACTGTTTGTATTGAAGATAGCTGTAATCTTGGGAATGTGTCTTTGATAGTTACAGTAACTTTTAACCTGCTAAATTTCTAAAATGGACATTTTTGGAACTGTCTAATATCAATTTTGGGGACATTGTGTTGAAAATTTGAAGTTATTCAGCCAGCAGTATAGAGCCTTGTCAGAGTGTACTAATGTGTCTGATCTACTTGCTCTATACAGGGAAGAAAAGGCTAATTACTTTTAGTGTTACAGCAGGATAAGGGATAAAAAGATTTCTTATAACAAGAAAAACTGCAATAATCAAGTGATTACATCTTAAATTACTTTGTAATACATTTATACACTTGTAGAAAAATGGCAATATTAATATATACCTTAAGCTCATGATAGTCAATGGCTCTATCTTTATCAGTATCGAAGAGATCAAAGGCCTCGCGAATTTCCTGCTTCTGTTCATCAGCCAGTTCTCGTTTCCTTTTCTTTTTATTTTTATCTAAAGCAAACTCGGCTCTAACAAAAAGAGAAAAAAAATACCAATACATAAAAATATTCATTCATTTCAAATAAACTGCCGTTTAGTCGGGTAATTTTAACAAAAACCCAGCGATCAGGTCTCTGTCGAGTTACACTTGCGGTGACTTCGAGATTACACATCTTCTTAAAACTTGAAATGATTGTAATGACAGCTTAAATTCCTTTAAGAGTAATCGATTCCCTACCATTTGGTACCAAGATATTGAAAATTGGTGAAAAAATGTTGGAGTTATGGAGTTCATATTAAGATGAGTGCTGAAAAATGAGCGGCGAGTTGCATACCTTTACTAAATAGGATGGTCCCCTATGGTACCATTGTTCTTATTATTTCCAGCAAATTGTACAAATAAAAGAACTTGTATTTACTATTTTATTGAATTGTGTTTAGCTATCGCATCTTGTCTTTAAAATACACATGTCATTCATAGAATAACCTAATAATTTAAATTAGAAACATCTATGGTCAGTCAGCCATGTTTTGAATGGGAGCTTAAACGGAGAGCACTATGGTACCGTGGTATGTTAATTGATGGCCCTTTTTGGCTTCAGTATAATTTTTTAACAGAATATGATGTCACTACAGTTTCAGCAGACGACCTTCATTTGTCGGAACATGAAATTATAACTTTTAAGTTTAACAGTTGAATATGGGGTAAAATATATTTTCAACACACAAGGGCAGCTTTGGATTTTCCTATCAATGACAGAATTTATTTGAAATGAAAATATTTCTTACAATTTCTATCCAAATTCACAAAAAGCAGCACTTCCACATTCACTTAAATGGTGAAAACAGTATTTGGTGGCATTCAATGTGTAAAGAAACAAATTTTCTGATTACATCGAAATGGACACGGACGCGGTACCCGCGGGGAGTACTATATATATATATATATATATATATATATATATATAGATATATATAGATATATATATATATATACATTGTATATATACAGTCATGTCCGGTGATCTTGCGCGGCCGGTATTCTTGCGCACTCGGCATTTCCTTTCGTTAGGCTGTTTGTTTATGCTGTCGCTAGAAATTTTCAGCCAAAATTTGTGACTTGGTCTTACTTTGAACTACAACAAGGTAAGAAAGTTAAAAAAATATCTGTCAAACATGTTTGTTTACATTATTTCGTCATCCTATTTATTTATTCATAAACACGCCCACTGACCTATTTTCCTCTTTTTATTCCTGTCTATTCATCGAGTTCCAAAATCTTACGTCCAGCAAGAAAGAAAATCAATATCACACATTTTAAAGCAGTATTGCACCGATAAAACGATGTAAATTTTTTTTTTTCCCTAAGGTGTGTTCAGTTGTTATCTCCTGCCAATTCCCGCCATCTTGTCAAAATGGGCCCCTCCCGCGCTTTTCAATTTTTTTTCTACGGAAGCGTAAAAGGGTCTAGACAAGAGCATTGAATTTGTTAACTGGTGTTGTACTGTGTGTAGTCAATGGGTGCATCTGAAATTCTGTACAGAAATTGAGACATTGACTGGTAGTGATGATTTCAGGTGTCCCAGGTGTAGTAGTGAAGTTGAACAGTAAAATAACAAACCCTTGATGTAAATAAGTTTGTGTTATAGTTTTGTTTGAACAGTTTAAATTAGCTTTTCATTAAAATTTATATTGATAGTATTACTGGGACACCATACTTTAAAAAATTAGCTACAGTGATGTCATTCATAACACATGCGCAAGATCACCGGACAAATAAATGTTGGGATTAAACATGGTGGTAAGTGTTTACATTGTTGCACTCCTGCAGTTCAATGAGTTATTTCCAAAAAATATTTCTGTCAATATATGTCTTAAAGATTTTTGCAAATAGGAAAATAATAATTATGAGTTTTTTGTATTTATTTGAATCGTAGTAAAATAGCTGATAAGTGCTTAGGTGCGCAAGATTACCGGACAGCATCGTAAATCATTTTTTTATTTTTTGTGGAAGATGAAGGTAATTGAATTAAAAGAATATACCAAATATTAAAACATGTTTAAAATAAAAAATACTGCAGTTTACCTGGTTTTGAGAGGTAATAGGGTTGTAGAGTGGGTGAGGGGGGGGGAGTTTGCCCGGGGGTAGTCCAATATATTAGACGTTACAGGCTTGTTATAGTTTATGTCGGTAAAGTTGCTTTGCCCAAAAGCAAAAATATGTCAAAGCGACGTCATATTTATAGGACTAGCCCGGGGGTAGTGACCAATCATCGCACTGAACACCTGTGCTTTCAACCACTCCCCTTTCAACGGTGTTAAGAAAAAAAGTAAAACCTATATCACACTTACAAAGCAGAAAAACTTACATCACCAAATAATCAAGCTATAAAATTTATTTATCTATTTCTGACAAGTAGATCTATCTAATATTACTTTGCAAACAAATAAGATTATTCTCTACCCATGTTTACTTTGTCATTCAGTTCTACGGATTTTTTTAGACAGTGTAGAAAAATACGTCGGCCGAAGCCCGAAGGAATATTTGTTCGACATAAAAAAATTACATGTATGATTATGCAGGGCTCACGCTGTCGGTCACCATAGTCGCCATTTGCAATTATTTTATAAGATTGGCGATTATTTTTGCATTTTGGCTACAAAATCTGGCGATTATTTTTTACTTCCAACAGTGTTTATATAAGGTGTAAAAATCGATCAAGAATGCAGTAGACCCAATTAACACCAGCGGGTGGATTTAGTCAACTTTTTATCGGTCACGTGCTGCTTACCATATTGCCCGAGGTGATAAAAATACATGCGAGATGTAAAATTGTATAAGTACTTTAAAGATATTGTCCAGCATTATAATAGCCATTTAGTATCTGTCAATTAGCCAAAAAGATCGTCTTAAAATTGATAAACTGGATATTGACCAACCCAAAATTTACGGGAAATTTACCGTAAATTGCAGTAATGGCAAATTTTGTTTTTGTTTTAAGCTACTTGACTAAATCGCTGGTGGAAAACAATGATAAAATATTTAAAAAGTATTAACTTCCCAACAACTATTTGCACAACAACCAAAATTGTGAGTATTTCTTCAGAAAACAGGAAAAAATCCGATTGTCACATGTTTTCGCGACACCGATAATTTTGATATTTATTTAAAGGTGAAAATAAGCTATGTTCTGTTTAAAAATCTTTACTATTATGGCAGAAAATTTGTATTACATTGGTGATGATGACATTTTTCAGTAAGTTATTCAGAAAAAAGGCTGCATTCTGTGAATGAGTTTGCAAGTGTTATTTTTATAGGCTAATATGACCTAGATCTACTCCAGTTCTGTGTGAAATGTGGAAATTGACAGGGGTTATAGCTGACAAAATTTGATTAGAACAAACAAAAGAAATTGTCTGATAATAGCATTATGTAAATTCATAATGAATCTTGAATATTATTGATATACAGTAATTATACTATATAACATTTTTATTCTGTTCTATAATAGCAATTTAAGTTGTGGGTCTATTTAAAAAAAAAGGTAGTTATCAATATATACACAAATGAATCAGATTATTTGAAAATCCTTATAAAACTGAAAAAGGTTTATATGTAATGTTTATTTAATCAACTGCTTATGTTGTTAATCGCTAAATCGTGATTAGTCCGCTGAACTGTTGGCTATTATTATTTCAAGTTAAAAATATTGGCTATTATTTTATTGGAGCCAGTGTGAGCCCTGATTATGTATCATTTTAATTCTTCTATCCGAAAAGTGACGCAAACGAAAACTACTTCATTTTCCAACTTTTCAATTATGCACGATTATGGAGAGTTTGTTGCAGGCCTTTGAGCTATAGATACTATTGATAATTACCTCAGTGAAAGGCTCATTGCTTACTGCTTCGATTTCTACTTAACAGAGAAAAGTTCTCTTTGATAAATATCCAGGCGCTGAACAAGAATAAACAAATTTTTGACTGGTTATCAAAAAAGTAACCCAATGTAAAGATTTAACTGAAAAGTGACACCTCTCTACGTATATATTACGAAAGAACCGTCTACATATTTGCAAATAAGTAGTTCCTCCCAATTTTTATTTTTATTAATACATTTAGATGTTTAATAAATGGATAAGTTTATTATTAATTGATATAAATTAGAGAAAAAAAAATATTAAAGTATTTAGAAGTTTAATAATGATATAAATAAAGTATACGTACAAGTATCGATAGAGAAAGATTTTTTTAGCATATTGGTATATTATTCTGATTTTTGTTTAGTTCGATCTTAAGTATACTTTTCATATGTGTAATCATTAAAATATATCTAATTAATGATTAGGATAATCATTAGATATTAATTATTGTGTGTTTGTGTGTGTGGGGGGGGGGATATTTTTGTGTAAGTAAGTAACGACTTTATTTAATGAGGCAACACAGTTGGGCAAGCCCAGTCTTCCCTGTGAGCCTCAACAATGTACAAAACAATTTATAAAATAAAATACATCAATCAGAGATTAAATAATTACATCAGTTGATTTCATTATTATACATTCAACATTGAAATATGTGAGATCAACCTTAAACAAACAAAAGACATGTGTTGATGATATACCGGTATACAAATGTTATCAAAAGTGAAAATTAACATATATATATAAAACAAACATATTTAAACAAATATAGAAAAAAACAAAAACAAAAAAAAAAACAAAAAAAACAACATATTTACATTGCATTTAAGCAGAGGTTTCCACCAGAGAACCACCATGTTAAGTATGTTTTTTTGAATTGTGCAAGACTGTTTGATTGCCTGATATGTAATGGTAATTTGTTCCAGATTTTAGGCCCAGAGTATGCAAGAGCTTTTCTGCAAAACTCTAATCTAGGTTTGGGTATATGTAGTGTCTGTTGAGTGTGTGATCTAAGAGTTGTGTGATTTGTATGCGAAAATAAATCAGACATGTAATGTTGCCAAGATTGTTAAGGGATTTGTAAACAAGAATTGACTTTTTATAATGTATGCGGTCATGTATTTTTAACCAATTCAATTCATTAAACAATATATCTGAGGGTGTATCAATGTCTGCATCAAGTATAATACGGGCGGCTCTCTTCTGAAATTTGTATAAGCTGTTCAGTAATTCATCATTACAATTTCCCCAAATAGTGCAGCAGTAATCTAGGTGTGGCAATATGTATGCATTATAAAAAACTATTCTCATTTGTTTGTTTAGGTATTGTTTAATACGAAGTAGAAGATACAGTAATGAATTGCATTTCTTAATCAGATGTTCAATTTGACAGTTCCATGATAATCTATGACCAACGTGAATTCCTAGTAAATTTTCAGAGTTAGTAAATTCAATGTCATTTTCCTGCATTTTCAAAGTGTAGTAATTGCTTGATTTAATTGTGTTGTAAATAATATTTGATGGGGCGATTATCATCGCTTTTGTTTTTTGAGGATTTGGTAGCATAGAGTTTCTTGCACACCAGTCGTAGATGATGTCAATGCTGTTTTGTAGTGATCTGTAGACGGAGTCAATAGATGATCCAAATGAGGTGATAGTTGTATCATCTGCAAATATGTCAGTAGATGTATTTGGAAGGTTTAAAGGTAAATCATTTATATATAGAATGAATAGAGCGGGGCCAAGAATGGATCCCTGAGGGACTCCAGATGATATTTCTTTGGCACTTGATAATTTGCCAGAGATTGAGACCTGTTGTGTTCTGTTTGAGAGATAAGATTTAAACCAGTTCAGTGTTTCCCCTGCAAACTGATATTGTGTCATCTTTTGAATTAAGAGTGAATGATTAAGTAAATCAAAGGCCTTAGTTAGATCAAGAAAAACAGTGCCTACATGTTTGTTGTCATTGATTGCAGAAATCCAAGTGAAAATGATAGATGTTAATGCTGTTTCACAGGAATGATTTGAACGGAAACCTGACTGAGTCTTATGCAATAACGAATTTGTTTCAAGAAAAATTTTAAGGTGATTACTGACATGTTTTTCTAGTACTTTGGAAAGAACAGGGAGAATTGAAATAGGACGATAGTTATTTGCATCAGATTTGTTCCCTTTTTTGAAAATTGGTATTATCTTTGCTTTTTTGAAAAGTGTAGGGAAAGCAGATGTTGAAATGCTTTGGTTAAATATTTGTGTAAGTGGTTTTGCTATAACTTCAGCTGAGATTTATAAAAATTTTGCTCCTATGTCATCCAAACATGTTGCTTTATTTGAGTCTAGGGATATGAGTTGCTTGATGACAAATTCTTCTTGTATTTGTGGAATCTGAAAGGAAGAAGTTGCATTTTTGTGTTTAGTGGTGAACTCGTGTATTGTTGTTTTGTCTTCATTTGAAAGGATAGAACAGTTTTCTGGAGCTTTTTTAAATACATTAGCAAAAAATCATTGAAATATTCAGCAGTGGTGTGTGCATCCTGTATAGGATTACCTGATATGTCAACAATAAAGTTAGTTTGAGATTTGGATGATTTACCTGAAATGTCTTTTAGATTTTTCCATAGCTTTTTAGGGTTGTTAGGATTATTATTTATTGAATTTGTATAAAATGACTTTTTTGCATCTGATGTAAGTGATTTTGTTTTATTTCTCCAGTATTTGAAGGAATCTTCATCATTAGACCTTTTGGCATGGTCTCTTTTCATCATAGCATGGGATATTTCAGTATTAAACCAGTCTGGTAGATTTTTATGTTTTACCCTTTTTTGTTTTATAGGAGCATGTGAGTTTAGTGAATCATTATATAGATTGAGAAAATATTCAAGTGAATCATCTATGTCATCAAAAATATCAATTACAGACCATGACTGTGCTTTTAGAGAATTGATAAAATTTTGTTCATCAAACTTTTAACATTTCTGTATCTAATCATATTATGTGTGGGTCCTGAGTCCTTTTGTGATGACAGTTTTCGTGTGAAGCAGACTGGATAATGGTCACTAAGGTTAATGTGGGGTACACATATTTCGACTATGTTACATGGCATATTTGTATAGACATGGTCAATGATGGAAGAAGTTTGATGGGTGACTCTGGTGGGTTCCTCAACCATCTGGGTCAAATTGAATGCATTTATAGTGTTCCTCCATGCAGAATTTGAATCTAAATTACTCATGTTATAATTTAAGTCACCAGTTATGATAACCTCTTTGTTTTCTGAATATAGCCGCTCTAAAATTTGTTCAAATTCCTGATTCCAGGCACAGTTTGAAGATGGAGGTCTGTAGATATATCCAAATATGAATGGCTTTTGCTTAGAACACTTTATTTCAAGCCAGATGGCTTCAAGCATATCACTATCAAGGTCATGCCTTTGAACACTATGATATTTACAATTTACATATACAACTACTCCTCCTCCATTACTTTGTCTGTCTCTTCGAAACATATTGAAATTATTTAGTTGAAATTCACTGTCTTCAAAATGACTATTTAAAAATGTTTCACATAAGCCAAGTATATCGATTTCTTTGTGGTAATGTAATAAAATTTTCATCTGATCAAATTTGGGGTAGAAATAATGGATATTGAGATGAAAAATATTTAATCCTTGTTTATTGAAGAATGCTTGTATGTTTGGATTTTCATAGATCTCAATATCAGTCAAGTTTTCTTCATTAATTGTATGAGCAGTGTCAAAGTTGATATCGTTGCTACTTTCTGGCTGTGGAGAGTTATTTTCTAGTGTGGTGGAAGTACCCAGTAATTCTGAGACCATCGACTCCTTAGTTTCTGGTAACCCCGTGGAGGTTGGCCATGAAAGTGATGCTGGTGGTCCGTTCTTTGTCTGTTGCTGGCAAATCGAAAATTTACTGGTTTTTTCAATGAAGAGTCAACCAAACCAAGAATATTTCGGATCTCAGGATCATTCCTAGAGTTCTAGAGCCTTCAGTATTTATGTGCACCTCATCATAGAAAAGACTTTGGCTAACTTTATTGTTGCAAGTGAAACCTTTATAGGTATCAATGAAGATATATCCTTTCTCTTTGCACAATGTATTGAGCTGTTTGTTTGTTTCTATAATATTGTCTTTTGATAGAAGGTCTCTCTTTTTTGGAAGTATCGAGGAAATTGCTATTTTGACACTTTTGTTTAGAGTTTTCAATGTGTCAGTCAGTTTAGTAAAATCTTCACATATGCTGGAGGGTTTATCTGCATTTGAAATATTGTTTATTCCTGCATGTACAATGATGATATCTGCTGATTCTAATGTATTTGGACGTGTTTTCTGTTCTGTAACAAGATTATTTATGTCATTAACTGTAGAACCTCGATTTGATTTGATGTTTACAGACACATTTTTTGTACTCATTTTTTGTCTATTTAGACCTTTTGTGACAGAGTCACCTATGATAAGGACTTTTCCTATACTCTTTTGTTTCTTATTATTTTCTTCATTTTCTGCTTCCAGATTGGTTTTAGGTTTTTGGTTTTGTGTTGGCATTGAATGATCAGTATCACTGAGTCTTGTATCTTGTTGACTTTCAGTTGTTTGACTGTTTTTAAGATCTTTCCTAAGCAAAGACATCTCATGTTGAAGCAGACATATGTCTGTACTTGACGCCATATTTTGTGTCCTATTTTGTACGGTATTTACTGAAGTCATGAGGTGTTCAAGTGTCCCTTTAATAGAAGTTACTTCTGTCTGGAGAATGTCATTAATTTCCTGTTGATTTTGATTTGAAGACAATTTATCACGTAGTGTCTTGTTCTCTTTCTTTAATGACTGATTGATATTTCTAAGTTTTGTCATTTCTTCTTCCAAGGTAAGAATTTTGGCATTAAGTTCATAGTTTTCAGTTATATGATTTGCCGAGAGCTTATTTCTGATATTAATGTGTGTGTTTTTTGTTGTTGTTTTTTGTTGTTGTTTTGTTTTTTCGTTTTTTTTTATAAATAAGAATAAGATTTATAAGAACAAATGATTACTGAATTTTATTGATAAATTTCATACTTTTATATAATGAAGAAAGGAGTT